ATCAATCAATCACCAGTACGAAAGAGTAAATGTCTGCGCGGCCGGAGAGAGCAGTGCGAACCAGGTGCAAGCCATCGATGGAGTCCAGTGTACGCTTACTCAACATGTTTACTGATCAGACCATTCTGATCAGAGATGAGTTGGGAGATTGCTCACGGGCAGGGTCGCGCGATCGCAATGTGTGCTGCCCTCTGGTTTCGAACGTTAGCTTTCACCGTTTTTTGCCCCCAAGGGCGGCATAACGAATTTCTGGTAGGGGCTCGCGCACTCGCGATGGCGGTGCCATCTACCAGTTGCCGTTGGCGGCTCACGTATTCGAGGTGGTAATACCATGCGGCAGTTGATGGTGGTGGCTTACCTACGCTCATCGCACTGCACGCTTTTGATGGTGAGAGAAGAACACTCGTGGCGCCATCTTTACTCTACGAACACTGTTGCCCCGAAATCGACGTGATAGGGAGCTTTGGGGCACCCGTCGATGTCACGTATGGAACTCGCATGCAGCGAATCTGCGCGAGTGCGATCGCACCTAGAAATTTTCGCGCGTCCCAACCAGCCAAGCGCCAAGCTACGGGTCGAGGCGTTGAGTATGTGTGCGTTCGGCGCTCCACTCATAATGAGTATGCGTGAGAGCCGAATGCTGCGAAAAATCCTCCCTAGCCGTGGATATAAGCCGAGTCATTTGGCGTATGATTTTTACATTTCCCCACTAGCGTTATCGAGCGTTTTTCGAGAGTTTTCAAGCGTTTTTCGAGCATTTTCGAGCGTTATCGAACGCTTTAAGAGCGTTTTCGAGCGTTATCGAGGGTTTCCAAGCGTTTTCAGAGCGTTTTCGACCGTTATCGACCATTTTTCGAGTGTTTTCGAGCGTTATCGAGTGCCGTAGAGTCCCGTAGTGTCCCGTAGTGTCCCGTAGTGTCCCGTAGTGTCCCGTAGTGTCCCGTAGTGTCCCGTAGTGTCCCGTAGTGTCCCGTAGTGTCCCGTAGGGCACTCTACGGACGGGACTTTACGGGACTCTACGGGACTCTACGGGACTCTACGGGACCCTACAGGCGCTCTACGAAGCTCTACGGGACGCTATGGGACTCTACGGGCACTTTACGGGCACTCTACGGGCACTCTACGGGACTCTACGGGACTCTACGGGACCCTACAGGCGCTCTACGAAGCTCTACGGGACGCTACGGGACTCTACGGGCACTCGATAACACTCAAAAACACTCGAAAATCCTTGAAACCCTCGATAACGCTCGAAAACGCTCTTAAAGCGCTCGATAACGCTAGTAGGAAAATGTAAGAATCATACGCGAAATGACTCAGCTTATATCCGCAGCATTCGGCTCTCGCGCATACTCGTTATGAGTGTAGCGCCGAACGCCCTCATACTCAACGCCTCGACCCATAGCTTGGCGCTTGGCTGGTTGGGGCGCGCGAAGATTTCTAGGAGCGATCGCACTCGCGCAGATTCGCTGCATGCGAGTTCCGTACGTGACATCGACGGGTGCCCCACAGCTCCGTATCACGTCGACTTTGGGGCAACAATGTACTTAGAGTAAATAAGGCGCCACAGGTGTTCTTCCCTTACCATCAAAAGCGGGCAGATCGGTAAGCGTAGGTAAGCCACCACCATCAACTGCCGCATGGTATTACCACCTCGAATACGTGAGCCGCCAACGGCAACTGGTAGATGTCACCGCCATCGCGAGTGCGCAAGCCCCTACCAGAAGTTCCTTGCGCCGCCCTTGGGGGCAAAAAACGGTGAAAGCTAACGTACGAAACTAGAGGGCAGCACACGATGCGATCGCGCGACCCTGCCCGTGAGCAATCTCCCAACTCATCTCTGATTCTGATCGCCATTTTCAGCAGAAAATCGCAATATGTTCCCAACCATTCACAACTCATCGGTAACCGCTTTTCCCTCTGAATGCACCCATTGAGTTAAAAGCTGTCCCTCACTATCATGAATGAAAAATAGTAATCTAACACATACAATGTGCAAAATATATAAAACATGCCTAATTGAAAATTCGTAAGAAAATGATATGAAGTATTTCGATAAACGGAAAAATTCAATTCATCATATCGATTCATCATAACAATTAAAGGTGTTATAAACCTAAACACTCCCTATATGTAGGGAACTTACAGACATTAGAAAGTCTACATTGAAGTGCCATTTCCTATTAACCTGACTGTTTTTAATTTTCAAATAATACTAAATTATGAGTTATTCTATATTCACAATGGCACCAATTATAAGGGTATGCTCAAAGTATATATGATTATGGTACATATAAAATAATTATTCATATATAAAATATAATACAAAAAGAGCAATATATTCACTAGAATACTGGAAAAAAATTGTCTACATGGTTTATCAATCAATCACCAGTACGAAAGAGTAAATGTCCAAAATGTAAACCATTAACAACATCAAAACCTCCAATGAAGTGTCCAAATCCACATGTTTGCTATGGGATACCACGTAGCAATTGCAAATTTACTTTTGGAAAACCACCAGCTCCGCCTCCAAAACCAATTCCACCTGTAGTTGACAATCCTGATTGTCCTTGGTGCAAGGAATGACCAAATATACTTAAAAAATTATTATAAGTCTATTTATTGCTAACATAAGCGCAGTAAAGAGTAATAAGTAGATGAAATAATTTTGTAATAGAGTTTGAAATATAAATTTTTTACAGACAGTAAGTAAGTACTTTTATTACAGTAGCAAACGATTCAGAAGTCTCCAGCCCTGAATGGCTAATGATAACTATATCTGTCGTTATGAGTTACAGAAATGCCCCCTGGGTTTCTACAGAACCTCTGAATTCTTTGACAGTAGACAGTATGGCAAAATGTCATATCATAAATTTCACTTTTCTTGTAGTCAGGTTAACTGACCCTTGGCTTCTTTTCAGGAGGCGGTTTCATGTCTTTCTTTTCAGTTTTTATATCCTGCTTAATTTCTACAGCTGGAATAAAGTAAATATGATATTAGATTAATAAAACTGTAATTATACTGGTTTTAAGAGTGTGATGAAACTGTTGAAAATAGTTACAAGATTCTGTTAAAGGCTGAACTGGTTTAGGGACAGGCAAAGGGAATTTACGGGTAAGCTCAGCAAGTAGCATATCCACCCTTTGTCGTTGAAATAACGAACTAGGCTCTTCTCTAACTGGGGTTTCTTTTTTTGCTGTCATTGCCTTCCCATTTTTCAAATCCCATGTATATCCTTTACTAGGATGATATCGTGAACATGAACTAGATTCCTCAAATGCTGATTGTAAATGATGAACCGTAGAGAGCTGTATATAAACATAAACATTAATTTCACTCGTTGTTACTTCCATTATTAAAAACTTCTTGAAAAATATACCAATCTAGAATTAATGACTGATGCTAGATCTGGAGCTTGGTACACAACTCCTGCAATAATATAGTAATCTGCTAATGGTGTCGCTTGAGTGGGTGAATGGCGATGTTGTTTTCGTATCACATATAAAATAGGTTCTTGTACATGTAGAAGAATATATTCTAGTCCAGTCATATTCCTGAAATAAGAATCATCCAAATGCATAACACATCATAAATTAACAAATCATTTCTTAAAAACCTTATATTTACGATAGTTGGTCTGGATTTAATCGCTGCATTTTCACTATTTCATTATTACACGTTCTGTCATAAAATGGATTACTCCTTTCTGAAAAGTAATCCATTATATTGCTAGGATTTAGCATTGGAATCCATGCACTGTCATGCCAGGATAATCCCAGAGGATTCTCTGAAATACAAGATTGTTAAAAAAATATTTTGGTTAGATTATAATTGAGAATAGAATCATGATATGGAATACAATAATTTTAGGTTAGATACACAAATGTTTCGTTTTCTATGTAAGTAAGCCGTCACAAACTCAATCAGAATTATTTACCTGGTACTGGAGGGCGACCAGGCATCATTTTGCTGTTTCAAAATAGTTTAACGTAATACTTCTTTAAGGTTACGGCACGTTACAGCACGTTACAGCACGTTACAGCACGTTACAGCACGTTACAGCACGTTACAGCACGTTACAGCACGCCACAGCACGTTACAGCATGTTTCTCGCCATTCTCTGAACCTCTCACGGTGTCTTATCACAGCAAATTCTCCGGGGTAACCAGGGGTAACTGCCGGTCCATCAGTCGGGCCACTATCCACCACTATCTCTGACCGGGACCCGTCTCCGATCAGCTCCGATCAGCTCCGATTGAGCAATGTGTCGGGTCGCCGGCCCGCTCGAGCCGACCACTCAGGGAACCAGGTCGTGGCCCAGAAAGAGATGATAGGACGGCCATATTGGTCAGCCCATTTTTCAGCCTCCGGATTGGTAGGTTATCTACTTCACATTTCCTGTTTATTCGAACTTAGTTTTGACCCTCTTCTATGTAAAACATAATTTTTAGACTTCTTGATGTTACAAATTCATAAATTGTATTTCATTCACCGTTTCTATTCACAGCCTGCACCGTTTTTTACTCGCTACTCCTAATGTGACAACTAAATCCTAACCAATTAGGAAGCTAAGATTTTTACTGACCAATATACGTTTTCTACTAATAAGATCCTATCTTAAATAACTGGACACCAAAGCATTTCTATAATTTTCACATGAATCATTTTTTGCACTTAGACGTTTACATCGTTTTCTGCACACCTGAAGTCGTTTCTGTAGATTTGAAATCTTATTTCTAGCAGCCTGAAAATACAACCGTGCTCTTTCTGGGTAATCCATATCGACGATGTTGAAATCTCCTTCAAAATATTTTCTTTTAGTTGGCATAAGTGACTGAATAAAATTCCGCATTCTTGTTTCAGTTTCAGAATTTACTGTAATGTATGTGACATTTTGATCGGTAGATGATGTTTCTTCTAAGACTTCTCGCTTTGGCTGATTAAAGATTTGCTGGTTCATCATCCTTGGAAAACAAAAAAAATACATCAGAGTAAGAGTAATGATAGTAGTCATTAGCGAGCACTATTTAAATTACTTACACCGTTGTATTCTGTAATTTTTCTTTTGACACACATGGTGGCATTTGTATGAACGTGCAATTTCTGACCTCTGTCGAGAAGATATTTAATTGTGGCACAACACCTTTTTTTAATTCTCTAGCTTTTCCAAATTGCTTTGGAGCAAAAGAGTCCTTGGTAAAGTGCTGAGAACAAATGCAAGAAGCAGTAGAGAATTTAATACTTTCAAAGTTTTCAACATTAATAGCTGAAAGCCATTTCTTTTGCATTTCCAAGTCCTTAGGAAATCTGAAAACATTAACATCAAATTAACATGAAAGTTTATAATTAAATTAATTATTATTAAGTCTCTTTGTGAAACATTTTAGTAATATAACCTTAAACTCAATTAAAGTTTCTTTGCTTACTGAAAAAACGATAAGCTGCTGCTCTTGTTACTTTTTGCATTACAATTTGGCACAACGCATCTTCGACCCATGTTGTGAATTGAAAATACCTGCCAACTTCACCACTTCATTATTCACTCATTCTCCCACTATAATACAACCAAATACGAGGCAGTATGAGTTCTAGCAAGTGGATCTAGATATTCAAGGTCAGAATTCCGGTTCCACAACTCGAATGAACTGAAGTTTAATTGGTTTACACTCGGTTTAAACCTTCCATAAACCAATGAAACTTTAGTTAACTTCGTCCTTAACATAAACTAAAGAGTAACAGAGAGTGCCCATACTCCATCTTTTATAACCACGACGCGTTGCTGTTAACTGGCGTAGAAATGCCAAAACTGTTCTACATTTAGCATGGACGCACTTCTTATTACGCGACAAGTTCAAATGATATCTACAGATTTTTTAATTCTATAACATGGAATAGTAAAACAGAGATCGTTACTGTCAACTGTCGGTATTTCAGGCACACGATCATTAAAGTTCTCGAACATTTTGATAGATGGCGGGGTCAAAAAAATCCGGGAAATTTACTTTTTGAGGAAATGGATTGTTATTTCTCCATGTAACGCGAAAATGGCAATAATCGTGAATAAAACTACAATTTACTGTTGTTCATAAGAAATACAGCTGACACATGGAACGTGCGACTTGTCTAGATACCTCATTTCCGCATATTACACTTATTTAAACATATCCTTTATGTAACAATATTCCTGAACTATACTGCGCCGTAAATCTTTGCGGAATAAGTCCTTTAGTTTTAAATAAAACAGTATTCTTAGGTTGCATTATTTTACCGACAACCGTTTAAACTCGTTCATTAACGTATTAAAAAGTAGAAATTGCAAACATGCAAAATCCAACCTAATTAATCACAACGTAGTTTCCAATACGAAAAATTGTAACACAACCGGGTAAGGCAATAATCGTAACTCGTTCTGCGATTTTCCAATATATTTATTTGTATGGACAAGTCGGAGCATAGTGCACAATATATTTAATATATAGTAGTCTGGGGAAGGGGGATCAGAGTACATTCTGGAGTCTGAACACAATATCTTACAATTTAACGACAAGATGCCTGCGTTCCTCTGTATTTGCTTCTGTACGTTACGTTATTCGTATATTCATATATATATATATATACATGTATATATGTATAGTATATATATATGTATATATATTCGAGTTATATAATATATAAAGCGCAACAATTCACTAATGTACTTTTTAATTTCTTCCTCTAGGGAGAAAAAAGGAGAAAAGAAAGGGCGTTGTTAATATGTTATGTTGTCTCTCAGTCCACTTGGTTTTATTTATCTCCGGGTATCGGCTCGGTGACACTCTCTCCCCCCCTTTCTCTCTCTCTCTCTCACATTCTCTCTTTCTTTCTCTCTCTTTCTCTCACACATTCTCTCTTTCTTTCTCTCTCTCTCTCTTTCTCGCATCGATCGATTATGCAAATCTTGTGGCGAATGCGTCGGTACTCGTTAACACTTGTACGTGATTACTATTTGTTTATTTATTTCGCATACGATACGGTCGTATGTACAAGTACGTGTGTACGCGCGCGCGCGCGCGCGTGTGTGTATCCTTAGCATGGAGGAAGTCGCCGGTCGCTAAATAGTAATTACTTATTTATTAGTAAAATTACACTTAGTCTCCGATAGGTGCGGGCCGACGCGAGGCCCTGATACGTCGTCGTCTCTCTCACACTCGTTCTCTCACCCCCTCTCTCTCCCTCTCTCCCTTTCTCTCCCTCTCACACTCCCCTTTCTCTCGATCAGATTCACATCGCGTTCTCGTCATCGTAGAATTATCATTAATTTGTTTAAACATGCGCGCAAGTATCGGAGCGTGTGTAGAATACAATAAGGCTTTTTCTCTCTGCGAGGGCTGCGTTCGGGCGAATTTGCGAGATTTCGAGACGTACTTTTTTTCACCGTCGAGGACAGCTCCTACTTTCTCCCGTGAATGTAGCGTTTACTCTATAGTTGAATTTGTTTAAAAGCAAATACATTGTACAGCCTATACACAATTGTTATGACTCTTTTATTCTCTGCCTAACTCGCGCGCATTCTCTCGCATTCGGTCTCCCTCTCTCATTCTCTCTTTCTTGCATTCTCTTTCACTCTCAGAGCTGAATACCTGTTTAACATAGTTTTACACGCAGGACCTTTTAGACATTACCAATTTACCGTATGATCTTATTCGTTACTTCTAAATTCGATTTATTATCCGATCGATTTTAACATTATGAGAATAAACAACGCATAAATAAGTTTCAAGAATTAAATTCTTAAGAATAAACGGATAACAAAGATTCTTTCGAATTGACTCGGAAAGAAATATTTTCTGGAATTTCTATTGAACGAAGTTAAAGACTTTGGCCGTCCGCTGACATTTACTAAAAAGACCTTGAAACAGTTTTCGTCCAGTTGGTGATGGTACCGTCCAGGCGTGGGGATGTTTGTTTAAAAGACATTGAAAAACCATTTAAAACAGACGATCAACTCTGCACGCTCTCTCATCCACCTCCGATCTGCTGACGGGGAGCACAGGGTAGGGTCCAGGTACTTAGGCTATCTGTATATTTTCATAAAAATCCCTTACACGATCGGCAACGTCCACTCGTTCATTTTCTCGCATTTTTTTTTTTTATAAAAATCACAGCTCAGCACCAGCATTTATTTTAAAGCCCACCCCATCTCCGGTGGGAAGTGCCTCACTAAAACTGAGGAGCCCCTTGTCGCGTCTACCCCTTTCCGCCTCCGATAAATGTCAATTTGGAGTTTCCGTGTCAGCTCTCGTCTCGATCCTATCTCGGGTCTGTATCTTTTGATTTTTGGCATGTCCCGTGCAACACCATGCGGCCCAATTTCATGTCTGACTCGCAGCTCGTCCCGATTCGGGGTACGACATAGCTCGTACATTCTCACCTCGCAACGACGATTAATAATGAAATAATAAAGGTCATAATAAACGTTACCGAACTAATATTATGTAATTATTTATATGTATCTTGCATATTTATACGTAATACGCCAACTCGTGACCGTCTCCCTCTCTTTTCTCTCCTTCTTTCTTCCCCTCTTTCATTCCGCCACCGCGCAGTCTCGCACCCGCTCTACTCTTTCCACTCGCTCGCCTCTACCTACTTATTTATTTTTAGTAAACAAATAGCATTCTAATTCTCGATTTACAGTTACTTAACGTTCCTCTCCCCCTCTCTCCCCGTCTCTTAATTATTTAGAATCGTAATTTCTTTTTTTTTTCCTTCTCTCCATCCATCTCGTCCGCGCTTACACCAAGTACCACCGTCTTCCCTCCTTTACATCGTTACCGGTACTAATGATAAGTCGTAATAATAATACACAATTAAATCGCCTATAGGGGATAGCGTTTAGCAAATATATGCAATTTCTCTACAAAAATCCAAGTCTGAAGTATATTCTTTACAGGTAAAATACATTGATCCGATTAACAGGGTTTACGGCCCTCGTTCTCTGTCTCTTCCTCGCATTCGTTTTCATTCCCTCTATTGGTCCGCTCGCTCTCTACCTCGCACGCGTTAATCAGTCATGCACGTATACGCTTTCATTCCTGTTTCCCCATTCTTCTTTTTTTCACTCGCTCGTATCATATGCTTAATAGAAATTTCACTTTGTGTCAACTCACGGCCGCGTCAGAGGTGCAGGAAGCTGTTCTCGCCCTGCGACGTAAAAGGCTCTCCTGGATGAACAAATTTCCGCTTGACAGAGGAACTTTGCGACAGCCAAATAAACTGCACGTGCATAAGGAAATAGTGCATTTATTGCAGCGAAATCTTCATGGCTCGAGCAAACTTTATTAGGCTATAACCAAATCGCATTGGTATTCCTCGTCAAGGAGACATTTACGTGCTCCGAAGGATCATATTCACTTTTATCTTCTTTTTTTTTTTTCTTTTTCTTAATTTTTATGGAGTGAAATAAACGCCATTTCACGCAGGGCGGATGCAGCTTCGAAATAAGGATCCTGCGAAAATCCGTAAGTTTTCAGTCTAACGGGGACTTGCCATTCAGCAGGTCGTATTTCGTTTGCGTCAGCACTTGCGGATGCGCCGGAAGTCGGGTACTTTTCTTCGTGTCACCCTGCAAAGCAAATTTACACGAATAAACGTGATAAGCACGATTCTAGGACGATAACAAAGAACATAAAGTTTCCACGGAGAGAACAAACGCGTTCCTTTACATTATGAAATATACTAGTCACTTTGAACATTAATCTATCGTTACATCTCCGATCTGAGTCTGCATTTCTTGTTGCGTTTATAAAAGGGGCGTACATTGACACGGACTACCCAAATACTTAGACGGTGCACGTTGTACCACGAAATCGTGATCTGTTCTCAGATTCGTGTCTCCGTAAAGCTAATTTAAACGTGTAAATTAAAAAGTGCCAACGAATCGAGTCATCGACACGTTTCGAAAGCATATCGTTACAAGAGATCAACATCCCTATACATGACGCGATTAAAACATTTCCCTAGCACGGGAAATCCCGAAAATGTAGGAAGCATTTCGAGTGTCGTTTCTTCTACAGGTTTTATGGAAATTGAGTACTTTGCCTGTTTCAGGAAACGCGATATATAATGTGCAGTCAGAAGAAGAGCCCTCGCCTTCCGACGCCGCGCATCGCTCGTTACAAGTATGTCCGCTCGACACTTCGCTACAGTAACCTATGTATATCTATATTACACGACGAATTGCGCTCGTTATAGGCTATTTACATCGAGGATTCACGTCGACTTTGTACAAAGAGATGAGCTTGGACAACCGCGTGTTGGGCTTACGTGCACCATTTATATTACAGACCCCCCGCGAGTTATCGCCAGCCGAGACGCTCGTAGCACTACCACTCGTGGCACGACTTGTGATTTCGACAACTAAACCGCTTCGCCTCTTCCTCTAATCCGATTGTTTTAATTGGCCCTAGAATAGTTCTCCAGCTAGGAAGGTTTCCCGACAAGTGAACGCCGCCAACATTCCGGGTATTCATCGGATTCCGGTACCAGTACCAGTTCCAGTCTTAGCGCTAGTGCCGGCGATAGTGCCAACTCCGGTCCAAGTCCCAGATCTATGTCGAGTTTACGAGCAAGCGAATCGCGTTACAGTACCAATCCGAAGTCTGACACTCGAGATAGGTTGTGACATTGGCGATAATTCTCGAGAATTTGGAGGATTCCCTTCCCTCGAAAGGTTCACTCCCGGGACCGATGCCGGTATCAATTTCGGTTCCACTCCCAGAGAACGCTTTGGTCCTAGTTCCAGACTAGCGATCGAGCCGTGCACCCGTGCATCCATGGTGGCTCGTTCCAGATCTGACTTCGACAACTGCTTCGGATTCCTCTTTCTAGATCGTATCGTGGCGGCGGACCCAAAAACGGTTCTCCAACGAAGGAACGCCATATTCCGTCCAATCGGACCCTGGTACCGGCGCCAGTTTCCTAGCTTCGACGTGGACTAACGTGCTAGCGCTAACTTCACTCCTAGTTCCATCCGTGTTCCCCACTAGCATCGACCAGCACTCCTCGCACAAACCACGTGGCGACGCGTCCCAGACCTGGCCATGCCACGTTGCACCTATCGGTTGCATCCAGCCCACGTGGGGGGCCCTCAATTTGGACAAACTGAGCGGCTCGAGCTATCTTCGACCCGAAATCGTGGAGAACCGACCCTAAGAGATCGCATCCTCGGGGGGTACTCCAGCGAGCGAACCGCCTGGAGGTCCTAGCTCCTGAGCCGAACACCGGGGCCGGACCTGGATTTAGGTGTAGGCCGAGCTCGCGTGCGGCCGAGCTGCGCACCCGCCGCACGCAAACCGCAGGGCGGCGTGTCCTAGGTCTGACGAGCTGCGTTCCCGCTCGCGGCGGGGTGCGAGTGATGGGTTTGTGCGGAGTTTCCGGCTGCGGGAACGGGAGCGGGGGCCGCGGGTCACTTGGGCGGGAAAGGCGAGATCACCGAAGCGGCTACCGCGGCGGCCTGCTGACTCGCCAGCACTGCCGCTGCAACACACACAGATACCGTTAATGGGGCTGTGTCCACTGATTACGTCTCTTTTTTACCCCTCTCCCCGACACCCGACTCCTTTGATCCGCCGCGGACTTCCGGAATACCGGAACAACCGACGCGGAACCGCGCATCGAAACGTCTCCCCCAAATCCATTGCCGTCTTATTGCGCCAATTTCGGGACTCTCCTAATCGAGGACTTGAGTTTCGATTGCGAAACGCGAGTCATTGGGCTGGGGAATACTTTTATCGTTCGGGAACGAGATGTCAACGAGTACTATGTGCAAAGTGATCAAACGATCGGTTTTGAGGGTTTTTTGCCTTCTATTTTTTCCAATTGCCTAGACTCGCCATACATGTGTCATAGAGCACTCGCGAGGAAAAGTATGGAATGGATAATCTAGAGAAGAAACTTGAAGATTTGTAAGAGAAGATTCTGATGTATGAAAGTGGATGCCAAATTTTAATGAATACCCAAAACGAATGAAGAATGCATGTTTTTGAAAGTATTGAGTGTGGTTTTCCTTGCAAGGTTTACAGATTTAGTAGATTTTGAAATAGTATGTGTGGACTCAGCCAATGGGAAATTAATAACCGCTCTTTTTATGTATTATCAGCCGACTCGTTATTAAACTTGGACATTGAAAGGTGGAAGACGTTTGGCCATTTTCGGATATTCGGGTACGCGACGAGTTTCAGGGATCGCAAGACAAAAAAAACAGGAATTCAAGTGACTCAAAGAAACGAACGTCGTTAATTCCAACGTCGGAGGACTTTATCTCGAGTTTGCATTCCCCTTTCGGACGAGTCCAAGGAGCCGGGGAGTTCTTTTTATCCCTTTAAAAGAATAATCAAAAAGGTCGCATCGGCCGAGAGGCCTTGTGGTAGAGCAAGGAGCGCGGTCAAAGAGAATCCAAGGCGACCGCGAAAATGGTGTGGCCAACGACCACGGTGTTTCGGCAGAATAATCGACAACCGGCGATCCCGCCGCACCCCAGCCCAAGTCAATCAGCACCTTAAGGAACGAAGGACAAGGCTAAAACGACCTCTCAACTTCTACACCGGAAGAGGTCGTCTGGCGAGTAAACGTCCCTTTGGCGGAGGATCTTCTTTTGGCGGGTCCATCATCAGCTCCGGCCCAAATAGATTCGGCTAAACCGCCATAAATTGCGAGGTTCCCTCCAAGAGGACATTTACTCCCACAAAGAGAAGATTTCCGTCGGTGTGCGGTGCGCACCCCATGGGTCTCCTTCGGGGTGGAAAGCCGTAAAAGCCTTTCCCCCTCATTACGAGGACCCGTCTCCCTCGCGACTCGTCCCCTCGCTCTCTTGCGCTCTATCTCGGCTAAAAGTGCTAACATACATCGCGCAATCGCATGCGATACTTTCCGGGCCCTCTCTCTCTCGGCCTCTCCCTCGTTCTCTCACCCTTGCTCGAAAAAAATCCGAGGAAAACTAAATTAAATCCCGCTCGAAGCCCCCGAGAAGCTTCGCGCCCCGGCCTATCCCGAGCAGGCGCGAATCCGCCCTACCGCGATCGATTGAAGAGAGCTGTACAGGGTGTACGCGACGTTTTTACATAAGGATATGTGAGAAACGGGACGAGAAGACGGGGTGGGCGCCGGGCGGGAGCAAGAGGAAGATGAAAGAAAGGAGCTGCTCGGCCCTGACCGGCTAAGCGTTTTTTACCGGGCTCTCTTTTTCTTTCTTCTCTACGGAAATCGGTATCCGCGAGTCTCCAAGATCCAGCCAGCAGGGTGGAGGACTACTTGGAAACTCGCCGAATTATGGCAGTGGTCGCTTCGATAAGATACACTTGGTCGGTTTTGACTTCGTCCTGCATTCGCCGCACATTGCGGTCACCGGGATTGCGATGGGACGATTCCCCGAGGTGCCGTTCCTCAGGAAACTGGTCATCGATCGAGTAATACTGGCGGTATAAAAATCTTTCGAAGTTACGAATGGACGCGGTTTAATATTTCGACACGGTTTCGAGGGAAAGGTTCCCTTACGGTAGAGCATCGTCGTTTCGGAATTGCTCCGGTTCCGTGCAGCTGTTCCTATTTTACGTACTAATATCAGGGATCGTTAAAGCGGAAAGAAACGTAGGAAGAGTAGGTGGTTCTTTTCGCGAGAAAGTGCGGAGCCCGGATCGCGAGTCGATCGTACGTCTCTTGGTCGCGGAATAAACTTTCTTCGGGCAAGAACGGCACTCTTCGGAGAATCGGCAAAAAACGGACGCGAGGCCTGATGCAAGGTCCCACGCTTCTGCGAGGTCATCGCGAAAGTATCCCCCGGAGTCACGTAGAAGCATGAGGGTGGAAGACAACTAGTCTAACGAAACATATATCACGCTCCGGTCGAAATTAACAACTATTTCGGGCGCGAGTTAAGCGATCGTTCGTTAGCCTGCCTCGGGTATCATTCTCATTTCCTTTTCTCTGAAAGAAGCACGATAAATAATTATCACAGTCTGAACTAGCCTAAGCCTACGAACCGTTATTAAGACTTAACCGCCCTAACGCCGTGTGCTTTCGTTACCTCCCTTGGACGATACGCAAAAAGAGGTGGCATTTCCCGAGCGAGAATGCCGGAATTCCCCCCACGCACCGCGCAATTCCGCGCCACCGCGTGGGTCGACGCACTCGACGACGGGATAAAACACTTAAACTATTTACAAGTCTCTCGTGGAGTGCCTCCCCCCTCTCGTCCGACATGTCCGTCTCTCGTTTGTTCGGTGACTTCGCGACACTTTACAAAAAGCGACCCTCAGGGGTCCTGGTAACAAAATAGTGCTCGGCAAATTCGTGCGGTACTCTTACTCTTACTTAGGGCAGAGGGACAACGCTTAGACCGCACGGGTGTCTCCTTTACACCGGTTAAACGACACGTCCGAGTCTCTCCGTGGGTGTACGCGTGCGCGCACGATGATCTACAGTTCCCCATCGGTGTCACGCACGACACTCGCATGCACGGCCATTCACCCAAGCGCTCTCTCGCAGTTGCTTCCTCCGATGTTTCTCTCATTACGCACCAATATGGTGTACGGTTATAGACACTCAAGCTCTAGGACAGTGGCTGAGTTACCCGCTTTGTCAGACAGTCGGTCGTTCCCCTCGGGGGCGCGAGCCGGCAGGGCTTGCGGCCGGACGAGGGGCAACGAATGTGAGGCGCCACCCCCGGGAAATACCTACGGCACGCTGAGACCGCGGGGGTCCACTCCGACGCCCGAGGAAACACACGAGGATCGGTCCTGGAGAAGGTCCGGGACGTCCCCGAAGCGGACCGGTCTCGGGCCGGACTCTGGTCGGGCTTGGACGCGCGCCGGACCAACCTTGGACCCCTTGTTCCACAGTTTTCACCTAGTTGGAGCCGCGGATCGCCGGAAGCCTTACTGTCAGGGTCTGACGAGAGGCTTACCTCCGTAGGGCGCGGGGTACTGTCCGGTTAAAAGGGGATACCCCAGCCCCACGTGCGTGTGGTGGTGGGTGTGGACATGCCTCTGCGGGGGCGGCGACCTGTTGTCCTTGCCGAGGTTGCCGGCGGCGGCGTCGCCGCCGACCTGCTGCTGCTGCCCGCCGGGTTGACCCTGTTGCTTCCCTTGCTGCTGTTGACCCTGTCCTTGGGGTGGCCCAGGACCGGCGGCCGACGTAGGGGGTCCGCTGGGCGGCCTCGCGGGAGTGGGACCCGCCGCCGAGGGACTCGCCGATGCCGCCGAGCTCTTGGGCGTGGGCGACTTCAGGGCCCGCTCCTGGAGCTCGTGGATCTTGTGGGCCGAGTAGTACTGGTTCGCGTGGTGTTGCAGCAGGTCGAGGGCCTTGCCACCCGGAGGTCTGCTCAGGTCCTCGGGGGCGTGGTACCTCGGGAGCTGATGCAAGTACGGATTGCCCGAGTACGGTCCCGGTACCAACATGGGACTGAGACCTCGGTAGACCGGGTGACCGGGGTCGAAGGGTAGAGCTCCATAGTGCTGGGGCTGCATGTATCCCGGATGGATATACGCGTATTGAGAGGTGGGAGGTGGAGGTGGTCCCTGGGTCTCCATCGTGGGTTTGACGCCCTCCTGTTTGCCTTTGGGGTCCTCGGGTTTGCCGAGATCCTGCGGCTTTTCCTGCTTAGGCTGGTGCTTCGGACTCGGCGGTGGCGGCTTGGACTGTTGCCTCTTTGCCGCCTCCTCTTTCCTAGTCTGTTCCCCAGGATATAGGTGGTAAGATCCGGACAAAGGTGTCCTTTGACTCTGCGGTACGTGGTACATGTACGGGGCCATTTGGCTCTTCATCTCGATGCTTTCTTTGAGTATCTGATGATTCTCGTGCTGCTTATCCTTGAGACTGGGCTGCTGAGGCTGTGGCTCCTGCTTCACCTTCACCTTCTGCTCGTGGGCCTCCTGCTCGGCAGGTTGGTTTTGCTGTTGGGGCACGGGTTGCGGCTGGTACGGATACCCAGGCGGCATGTAACCTCCATAACCCCCGTAGTAATGGGGCTGTTGCTGCGGCGCAGGGGGGTTCAGCTCCTTCTTGTCCTTCTCAGGATTTTGCAGGCTAGTCATCGAAGGCATTTGCGGTATATTCAGGGGCTTCACCTCTTGTTTCGGTGTTAGGTCACTCGGCTTGGGATCGCCGGGCTTCTCTTGAACGCTCGACACCAGGTACGGTGGCTGCCCGTAATACGGATACATGCCGAAGTGCGCCGGCAGGTGACTCGGGGCGTTCGCCTTGGGATCCTTCTCGGGACCCTGCTTCGCCTTGTCGGCGGACTCGGCCTCGAGAACGGGCGCGGCGTCATCCGAAATGTCCGAGTACGCCGGACTCTGAACGTCTTCCCTCGCGTTGTCCATCATCGGCGCTTCCAGGGGCGAAGGATGCGGACTCCCACCCGGAGATTTCCTGGACTTCTTCTTGTAGCCCTGAGGCTTCGGATTCCTGGGGTCCTTGCTCTTGTCCTGTTCGGGCATCAGAGCGGCGGTCGGTTTGACCTTAAACTGCGGTATCTTCGGGTGCAGACCCACGTTAGGGTACGGCTGCAGGTGCGACTGTATCGTTTGTCCAGGGTGGCCGGGCGAGGCGGTCCTCATACCGGGCTGCTGGCCGACCTGATTCGTCAGCCCCTGCAGACCAGGGTGCTGGCCTGGCATGCCAGGCACCCCGGTAGGTTGCTGTTGCTGCGGCGGCGGCGGCGGTTGCTGCTGCAGAACGGACTGCTGGACCGTGTGCGCCTGCGCAGGCTGACCCAGCTGAGGTTGCCCAGGGTGCTGTACCTGCTGCAACTGGTGGGCGGGCTGAAGTTGCGGCTGCACGGCCTGCATCGGCTGGCCGGGCGGCCCCTGCTGCTGCGGCCCTGGCGCCATTTGCGCCTGCTGGGGCTGCAGCAACGAGTTCTGGGAATGCTGCTGGACCTGCACCGGCTGGGGCGGCTGCGGGATGTTCAGCGGCTGAGGCATGCCGACGGCGGGGTGCGGCGAAGGCACCGGCCTGGGGGATTGGCTCGGCCTGGGGCTCGGGCTCTGGGGAGGATTCGTCGCCTGCCCGGGTTGCCCGGACCTGGGGGGCGGCACCGAGGCTGCCACGACTACCGCGGTTGCCGCTGCCCCCACGGGCGCCGGCAGGTCGTCCTGACCGAACCTCAGCACGCCCGGCTTCACGATGCTCTTGTCAGAGTGGACCGGCGTGGGCGGCTCTATACTCGGCGAGGGCACCCTGGGCGGGGGTGGCGTTTCGGGCGGCAGACTCGTCGCGGGCGGACTCGTCGCCCTCACGGGCGTGCCCTCGGGCTTGTCGGCCGGCGACTTGACGGGCGTTGCGGGGCTCGGCGCCTCGATGTTGCTCTCGTCGTTCTCCGACATGCTGGTGATGCCCTCCTTCGTGTCTTCGTCGTCCGCCGAGCCGTGCGCGTGGCTCTGGTGGTACTTCAGTCCGTTGATGTGTTTGTACTTTTTGCTGCAGTTCGGCTCGGGGCATTCAAGGAGGACCGGGCTCGCAGGGGGCGAGCCGCTGGGCGGCGTCGGGGGTGGGGCCCTCCGCTTGTTCTTCTCCTCTTCCTCGGGGCCGCGCGACTTCCGCTTCGCCGCGGGGTCCGGTCGGGGTGGGACGAAAGCCGCCGGCGACGGACTCGCCGCGGGCGAGCCCTGCGCCCCTCTGCGGCCCTTGGCCCCGCCGTTCCTCAGCTTGCTGTGCACGGAGCTCCGCGTCTCCGTGAAGTTACTCAGGTCGTTGCCGGGCGTCGCGTTCGCCGCGGCTCGGCCGCGCTTCCCTCGGCCCTTCGGCGTCCTGGCGTCGAGGTCGCTCGTTGGCGAGTCGCAGAACCTGGGCGGCGCCCAGTCGTGCCTCGTGCAGTCTAGGAGTGTCCCCACGTACGTCTTTCCCCGCCACGTCACGTTCACCACCAATACACCTGCAACAAAGAGAGGAAGTCCCAAATAGTAATGGTCGGTATAGGCCAGCGCCGAGGCGCTCGCGGCGAAGTCCATCGGGAGGCGTATGTTAAATTTAAATATAAAACGATACGATGAAACTCTAATTTCTTACAGTCTTGGGTATAGTTGGATGTGAAATTTATAATATAATTATGGAAACTAAATTAAGGTTAGTGGAGTTAAGCATTTGAAAATTGAAGTCTATTCCGTTAATTAGGATAACGTTTTACTGGAGTATTAAGAAGACTTGCTTTGCCTCTCTATGATGAGGAGTGAAAGTTTTCGAAACTTGTTTGGTATAATGAAGAATAGGGATGGAGCTTCGGTCATTCGCACCTGAATGCCCTTTCCCCTTGTTTCGAGGGAGAAAGCGGATGTAATTATTAAATCGTTAGGTCTGATATAAGTAAAGGGGTATAACGATGCCGAGGTAACGACGCCCGATTGTGCTCCTTTGTCACAGATGAGGAGTTAAGTAGCTAGAACGTGAGATTGTCGTCCATTTAAGAGCTGATCTTAAATTCTCTGCCAGGTGCAATCCATTTGTCTTCCCCCAAGTTCATTCCCGCCAAGAAACACCTAAGTGGAGTTCTCGGGGAAAGAACTTTCCTTTTTCCGCTCTTCATCGAAATCCCGCCGCAAACCCTCCATAAATCACAGGAGGGGCAGAACCATCCCGCCCCACGAACATATACAACACGACTGGATCGAATCCAAGACAATCAACCGGACTACACCTTCCACCAATTATAACACCCGTAAACGTGCCGGGACATCTAAAACGATCCATTAGAAAAATGTCTACCAATCCTTTCCTGCTGCAATATGTATATTACAAAAGATAAAATAAACTTTTAAATTAAATGTTCCTCTCAATGGTTTTTCTGTCTCGATTCCTTTTGAGTACTATGCAAGAATTCGGATCCGAATGCTCTCATTTTGAGAATAGTTTCGAAATTAGGTGATTTTCCCTTTTAGCCGTGACAAGAGAAGAATAAAAATAAAAATAAAATAACAAAAAAGAGTTCTTTTTTTTCAGAGAATATTCAAACTATTCTTCCGAAGCTACGGTCTTCTTCATCGGATCATTTGGATCCTTATCGCCGGTTTTGTTTCAATCCCGATCCACCGTGATTAATCGATTGTACCGATGGCTGCGCAGCAAATAAATCAAGGCCACGACATTTTCAATATCCTCGACACCTTTGAAGCCTTCGATAATTTCACTAACTCGGATCGAGAATCGCTATGAAAGCCGCTTCTGCGAATTATCCAAGCGGCAGCGAACCGTGGCCTTCAGGGGCGCCGGTAATTGCCGCACCAATTGAATCAAACTTTTGACGGACGATTCGAGTTAACGGGTAATAAAGGCACTATGACAAGTGGGTTATCGATCGAGTAAGCCGACGGCCCTCGACCGGATAGAGGCCAATGCGATCCCGCGGTTTTGTTCGCCGGAACGACACCGATACCGATCGTACAAAACGACCGCTCATAGACCGAATCGTGTCACGCTCCGAACGCTCCCGACATTGCTCGACACTTAACCCGACTTAACCGACGTGCCAATAGTCGTAAAGGAAGTGTCAAGTAATTTCACCGATATCGAATGGGTAAAAAGATATATGGCTTAGAACGCTCAAAGGATATTACGTCACGTTGAGAATTGTACGAATTTGCGAATGTTTCCCAACGCTTAACTCGCAATAATCAACGTGCTGGTAATGGGAAAGGAAGAGTGCAGTGATAACGAGAAAATAAGTGTATCACTCAAAACGAAACCTTCGATATGATCGATTAATGCTGATTGAAACGGCCTCATAATTTAACAGATAAGCCAGTAGTCGGAAAGGAAGCGTGAAATAATTTTAACGATGCCAAACGAGGCCAAGAAGGAAAATATACTATTTAAAACAATAGCTGAAAGACGACGACTGGCGTCACGCTCGAAATGCTTCCGACGAGCTCGTAATCAGAAAGGACATACACGGCAATTATGGTATCGAGTAGGACAAGAAAGAAGAACCGTATCGTTGTAGATAATGCAGGAGAATTACCATCATTATCTTTACCTATATTACAGTAAACCGTAATCTTTACCTACATAACTGTAACCATGCACTACTGTTACTTCCGTAAAAGTGCACTATGTTTATTAAGTTGCACGCATGAAAGATGAGTCAACGTTAAGAAGATGGTTGCAATGGCCGCTACTTCAATTCGTTAACAACACAAAGCTATTGAAGGGTGAAAATAGGTATAATCGTCCGTATTCCATTGCATAAGACAACCAGAAAACGCTATTCTTTCTTGGATCCGATGGTGAGTTATTGGAATCTCCCGCAATACGCATTGTTAATAAGAAATGTTCCCTTTCTAATTTCTCGATAAAAATGACCACGCCACGTATCCTCACGAAACACTGACTGGTGATTTTTTAAAGGCTATTATTCTATAGAGTCACGTTTCTTTAGGATTCATAAAAGGTGCTTATGAAATAGAAACTGTTACATATCTATTTGCACGGTCATGTAACGATCACCTGGGCACATTGAAGAAATCCCAAAAAAGTCCTACCAAAATATGAGTCCAAGTACTTTTTCAGACCGCATCGATCGGTCAATCGACGAAGATCATCGAACTCGGGTTCATCGCTCCCCGTTCGGACGGATTGCTTCATGGAAATGTACCGAGAGTCGCATACGAGAGCACGCTTTCCATGTGGAAGAATACATTCTCGGGTTTCGGTTGTCGGCCCTGGCCCTGAAGTGACCATTATGACGTCACGTCAAAGCGAATCGCCAATTCCGAGGTCACAAGGGGCCTATCGTGCAGGAAAGACGACACAAGCACGAATCGATGCCGCACGGCGTGCAACAATGCCCGGCCACATCCCAAAGGGGGTTCAAGGCGACCAACCTTCCAAAAGCGAAAGGACGCGTATCTCTTTCGCTCAGTTTGATCGACCTCTCCCCGATTTTTCCTCTCCGTCTCGCGCGGCCATCTTGCTCTTGGCCGTTGATTTCTCAAGAGATACCGGCCTTCTTGCACTAATGAAAAAGAATCTCAGAATTGAGACGTCCCTCGCCTTTGCCAAATTTGGCACGAACACTTGTTCTTGCCATTCCGGGGAGGCGATGGAGCTGGCGCGAACAGAAAAGATGTATTCAAGTACGTAATCAAGGCTCAGAGATTACACCGAACCACTTCTTAGCTATAGAAACAAATAGATCAACCTCTCTAAAATATAATTTTTAGTACACGAAAGAATTTCTAACGTCACTTTGCATATAAAAAATATACATATCTAAATTATTGAGCAGAGTTCTTTAGTTTAATACCGGAGGCCTGGGAGACCTCGTTCGAGTGTAGGTATTAAATGAGCTATAAAACACGGTTTAATGGATATGTAACTTGTAACAATAACATTATGTCGTGGTTTGCGTAAAAACCGTTGCTCGGTAATCACCAAACCGGTACGACAGTCGGTAGTCGAGGTTAAAGAATTCTCATTCTACCACTCGGCGACATTTTACGCCCTCTTCAATGCGGAACGAACACGGAAATTAATGAAGAAATCGGGGGGCGGGGGAGATAGAATTATGTTAACGCGGCCGAGGCACGACGTTTATGAGTTTATGAATAATTAAGTCATTCTCGTCGGCATAACAGTAAGCTACGAGAGCGTTAACCAGCGAACGGATATTAAGATAAGCGCTCATGATACGCTCGAGTAACGATCCGCTGCGCGATTTCAAGCCGATCGGATTTCAACTTCCTCTTCGATTACGCGAACAATCCATCGCGCAATCATGTAGCGCTCGAAGAGTGCTTCGCAACCTCGAATTATCCCGTGCTATCGGAGTCTAATCACGGGAGAGAGGGGAAGGGGAGAGAAAATAACTCGAAATGGCTGCCGTTCGCTGCCGCGGAGAATAGAGATGCCTCGTTCCGCGCGTTGAAGTCTCCCATATATTACCAGCCCGGCACAAAAGCGAGCGCCATACAAGTGGAAGTTCCACCAACAAGGAGCAACCTCCCCCGCACTTTGCAGACACATAACGTTCGGCATATATACCGGGACCTCGAGAGTGATTTTTCGCCATTGGCCGGTTGATTTAGGGGCTCTAAGTGACTAAACCAGGTGTAAATGGACGAGGTATCCGCTTAGCGCGATTCGGTCCGCGTGTACTCGCCCGTGCGGTTCGTTCGACACCCCGAAGCGGCTTAGAGTCGCCTCTAAGGACTCGGGGGAATCAAACGGAAAAGCGAACGAAGTGACGAACAGGGTTAATCCTATTGGACACGCCGAGCCCCGAGCTTGAGTACTTAATTACATCCGAAAAAATCACCAACGTGTGCTGGAGAAAATTATCGGTTTCCTTTTCACCCGCCACACGTTCGTACGTACGACTTCCAAATCGATTTATGCAGACTTAGGTTACGCAAGTTCTAACGTACCGTGAAAGCAGTTCCATAATGCTTCTCGTCGAGGGAACTAATATTTCTTGGCTCTGACGCGGGGCTGCCATTAAGGTAACGTAATAAATATCATCGGTATAAACACGGCGTACAAGAAATTCAGTAATAATGTAGAGAATGTGGTAATAAAATGATCTGCATCTTGGGGGAAAAATGAGTTCCTAATGGTATCGACACATTTGAGTACTACGTTGGGGTCGGCGGTCAATATGGTGTCAACGGGTGGGATAGGTTTCTTTTATATCAAACAGCCGTCGATATATCCCCGAGTTACTAATGGGAATCTCTTTATTTCGGGGTCGAGCAAATTTCTGGCTCTTTTCTTTTCCTACGAAGTTCTTTCTTTTCCTCATCAGGCCCGCCATTCGTCTGACAAGTTCTCTTGTCCGGCGTGTGGCGCCCTCTCTCCGCCTCTCCTTCTTCGCTCTCTTTCTCTCCCCCTCTTTTTCTCTCCTTTGGCGGAGCTATAAATCGTCTCCCGCATCGCGGAATTCCT